GAGTTGCAGATATTTTTCAGCTATAGAAATGTAGCCCTTGCTTTGTCAATCCTCTCCCTCACATCTGCATCGGATCCACCTTTCTCGTCGATGATGCTGCACAAATCTACACTACTCTCGCTATTTATTTTGGTCTTCTAAGTGATGCTTCTCTGTTTAATAATTATATGCCACTTTGTGAGGAGCACGCACAACTTTAGTATAGTTACAATAAACTGTTCACTCGACTACTTGATATTTTGTTGATGTTGTTTTATTTTAGATAATCTGAATAGGTTTGAAGTAATCGCGATCGGAAACTGTACATTAGTTTGCTTTAATTTTAACTACCAATAACCAGAATAGTACTGAACCTGGAGCCTTGTGCGGGGTGGGAGGGGGGACGAAATAATGCTTTATGTGGTGTCCGAACCTGTCACCATCAAAGTATTTGAGTCCTGCTAGTTTTTTTATTACTGACTGATTCACGTTAGCAGATGCTGGCTACCTGGTTGGGGTATGCTAAACGAAAGTCATCGACGGTTAGAGACCTTGAATGACATGGCTCAAAATCGTTTGCAATGGTGCAGGTGAATCCAGTCTTTCTTTTCTCTCAATAATCTAATCTTCTGAATTCTTCATCACCTTTGTCTTTCTCTTTCTAAAGTCATGTCACTGAACTATACTTTTTGAATAGTACGTCTCCATTACCAGTAATTCTTCTACTATCTCTACCACTATGGGATTTGAACTGACAGTTGCGTCTCTGTGCTAATGCGGTATGACAACTTAAACTGACGTACCTACGTACGTACAAAGTTCTACGTTGTAATTGACTGACTGATTTGAAATTTTTTTTAAGTCATGGTAATAGATGTAACCATTAACTCTAAACACAAAATAATTGGAGATTTTCAATCTATACTCGGCAGCGTACGGCGCAGCAACATCGTGAGCTCCACAGCCATTACCAGCGGGTCACCGTCAGCCGATAGTCTCGCCAACCGGAACCTCTGTGGCGCCTCCTCCCTGTCCACCGGGATGTCGAGCTCCGTCATCAGCAGCCCGGTGACCGTCTCCCACGCCGTCTTCCCGGCGGCACCGTTCAGGCTGTCGTATACTGCTTTCGCCTCACCTCCCCGCAGTGTCCCCAGCACCAACAGAAATTACAGAGTTACTCAGTAAAATCGGAAAACCATATCGTAAATCGTTCATTTGCAAAATATCAGTTCGTCATATCGAACTGGACTGTTCCTGTTACAAAACATAAATCCATTGTCACTATTGATGCGTTTCATACAAATTCCATTGT